ATCCGGTCATCACTGTTCATCGGAGAGCTTTCGTTTAGATTTGCTGTTCATCGCCAATCCCCTGCTCTCGTCTCTACTTTTCACCTCTGAGATTAGCTTTGCCCCATTGATTTTTCATTCCTCATCCTGTCATCCATGTTTCTAGATGCGAAAGTTTCTCTCTCTCCCCTCTCTTTCTTCCGATTCCCTTCATTATCGTGGATTGACGCTGAGCAATAAAGTTCCTGTGGTGCCACAATTGAGAAGGCCAACTCATTCTCGGACGTCTCAATCAAGTGAGTTGAGAACTTGCTATCGGCGGCCTAAGTTTTGCCGATGGAGGTAGAGTCATCCTCTTCGAAGCCCGAGTTGGTTGAGAAAGCTTGGAAGACAGCGATGGCTTTCAGATCTTGTGGTCGTCGAAGTAAGCCAAGCCGTGCTCTTATATGGGGCAGGGTCAATGAATCTTTCAAGGAATAAAATTTTTCTATTTCTAGGTAGAAATCACAGGTCTCTATTTGAAACAAACAGAAGAATAGAAACCAGAAAGTTGCAGATTTCTCTCACGAGTCAAAGAGATCTGTGTTCCTTACTACTCCTGTGAGAGAAAACAACTAAGGAGGTGTTTGGAAACCAAACCGTTTCACAAATATTTTTTCATGTAAATATACAAAAAAAATTTGTCTTGTTTTATAAAAAAAAATTTTTAAAAGTATTTTTCAGCTTTCCCAAACATCTCCTGAACCCAGCAAGACCACAACCATCATAATCTCATAGAAAAGCGTGCTACCAATAATCGACAAAGCTAGTACTGAATGCCAATAAATATATCGGAGTCCTTTACAAATGGCATTAAAATGGTATAGAAGTTATGCACCAAGTAGTGAGGAGGAGGGTTCCCATCCAATGCTCATCAGCTAGTGAGTAATCTGGACCGTTCAGATTTAATCTGACGGTCCAGATTTAATATTATTAAATAATTATTTTAAAATATAAAAAATTATATTTTTAAAAAATGATAGTTAAGAAATTATCTTTATTTTTTATCTTATACTTATTAAAATAATTATTTTTAAAAAAATAAAAATAAAAATAAAAATAAAAATAAAAATAAATATAGACTGTTCAGATCAGATTTGGACGGTTCAGAGGGTGATGAGCATTGGGTGCTCATCACACCTGATGAGCACCCAATGCAAATCCGGAGGAGTAGCACAAGCACTATCATATTGAAGGTGCTGCAAGCTGGTAGGATTCACATCACGTGCTTTTCTCTTTCCACCCATTTTCCAAGTCCACATGCATGGTTTAATTTATATAATGCTATTATTATTAATCTTAATAATATTCATAATAATTGTTGCTGCCACAAAGAATAAATATTCCAAGCCATAGAATGGCAATACCCATTTTTATGCATTGAGAACGGTGTATCAAACAATAATGATGGAAATTTCATGCTCCAAAATGGAGTAAAGTGAGATTTACGCTCAAATTAAAACGGGAATAAAGTAGCAAGTCTCTCAACTTGGAAATTTAGGAAGGAGGGGCAGGTTGACCAACATTCAACTGCTTTCTAGTTAAAAGAAGCTTCTTCATGTGATTGCTTAGAAATTCACTATTACAAAAATTGATAAATTAGATAAATCAATATTTATTCTTTCAGGCTACTAAGGTGTTTAGATATAATGAAAAGTGCTTCTCAGAAATACTTTTCTATAAATTGAGATAAATTTCTCCACATATTTATCTCGTAGACCGTAAAATCACTTCTGAAACAATGGTTTAGTTTCTATCTAAACACCCCCTACATCATAAATTAGCCTAGAGGGTTTGCAAAAATTCAATCATGCACAGATTGTTTTGTTTGTATTGATACTCACGCTAATTTATTTAACAGAAGTAGGATGCTTTCTTTTTATAACTTCATTATATTTACCATACAGGAAATTCTGTATATGATGTGGTCTTGCAGCTGAAAAATTGATGAGTGGAGGAAAAGACAGGGAAAAGAGAAGGTATGAGAATTTATGTCACAGAACTAAGACCAAATTATAAGAGGATGGTAGCTGATGAGATAAAAGCAAGGTGATTGAGAAAAACAAAGGACAAATCTTTCCAAAACCAAAAAAACGATGATGAATCGCATTGGAAGAGAGAGAGGAGAGAGAAAAGCTTTCCCATCTAGAAACACGGATGAGGAATGAAGAATCAATACGGCAAAGCTAATCTCATAGATGAAAAGTAGAGACGAGAGCAGGGGATCAGCGATGAACAGCGAATCTGAACGAAAACTCTCCAATGAATAGTGATGACCGGATTCTAGCTAATAAGTTAGGAATTTAGGATATGTTTTTGCTTTCTCTCTCTTAAAAAATAAGATACCCGGGACACAACTGCTTAGAGCATTTTCTCCGCATCATGTTGCCCAGTCAGCACACCACATAAGCAAACATAATGGAGTTAGTGCCACATATGTCAAATTAACACCATTAATTGCTGCTCTAAGTCCTTTTCAAACTATAAGGACTAACATTTTAAACAAAAAATAAACTTGAGAGACTAAAATCACAAGTTTTAAATTTCAGGAACCAAAATCAAAATGAAACTAAATTAGAAGGACCAAACATTGTATTAAGCTTTTTTTTTTTTTGGTTCACCTATTTGTTGATGAATCTAGCTAGAAGCAAATAAAATAACTGGCCTTTAATGCTCATGTAATAAATGTAATGAGTTCTTCTCTCTAAATAAATTCATATAATATTTTAGTTTGATTCTTTTAATCTTTTAATTATAATATTATTTGTGTCAAATGATACTTCTCTAACCTACTACTACTATTATTACTATTTTTGGTAAAAAAAACCAATTGTTACTCTTTTAGTCTTAAATATAAAATCTACTTTATAGTATAATTTACATTCTACAGTGGATCTTAGAGGTGAGAATTAGGGCTGGCCCGGCCCTTCAGGGCCAGCCCTTTAGGGTTGGCGGGCTTAAAATGGCCGGCTCTCCAGGGCTGAAATTTCAAAAATACCCCAATTTGCTAGGCCCGGTCCTCAAACTACAGGGCTCAGGGTTGGCCCGCGGGCTTTTGGCCCGTTTAAGAAAAAAAATAATATTTTTTATATTTATCATATTTTTTATAAAACAATAAAAATAAACCAATGAAATTATTAAAAAAAGACATAAATATGAATAAAATTAAGTCACAAATATAAAATATCATCATATATAAATATCAACATCCAAGAACATCTAAAACATTTATTAAGAAGATAACAACATCTAAAAGTTTTATCTATAGTCAATTGTGCAATAAATAAATACTATCATTAATCTTTTGAAATTTCATCATCACTATAATTAATTACTCTTCTTCATAAGTATGCTTTTCTTTCGTAACAAAAATGTCAAGTTTTTCTTCTTTATAGGAATTTTACTTTTAAATTTTACAATCTAGCTATTATTTTACTTTAATGTGAGAAACATTGCTGTTGAAACTCATAAATTTCTAATTCAAATTATAGAATCACAAGTTATATAAGTGTAAAAATACTCTATTATTAAATATATATCTAGTTTAAAAATATCAATGCATATAATATAAATCAAATCATTATTAAAGTCCAAATTAACCCATTTTTTAAAAATTTAATTGGATAAATTATTGTCTAACACTAAATTTAATTTTAAAATGATAATAATAACTAAATATTTGAAATATTATTAACAATATAAAAAATTAATAACATTAAAATTATATAAAAAAATTTAAAAAAATTATAAAAGGGCTTAAAAGGGTCGGCCCGCAGCTCTCCAGGGCCGGCCCTTTTAAACCCTCGGCCCTCTAGGGTTTATTTCCCATTTGAAGGGAAAAATATCGAGCTCGGCCCTCATAATTTCAGGGCCTAAACAGGCCGGCCCGTTTTCCCGGCTCTAGTGGATCTCATATAAATTGGAACAGTATTAGTTTTAACATAAAACTTAAGATAGTATTTGAGGATATTTTGTCGGTATTTAAAATTTTGATGTCAGGATTTTTTTTATTAATAACATTAGGATTAGAGAAATAAAAAACACTTTATAATAAAATTTAAAAAATTACAATGAATTTTGAGAAAATCCCAAAAAAGTGACTACTGAATTTCAAAATGCCAAATTAGGAATTACTACAAAAATGGGTTGTCATTTGCTCTTTGAATGTAGTCATTTTCTTTATGAGTGTAGTAAAAAATACTGATTTGGAATTTTGAAATTCAGCTATCACTTTTTTGGGATTTTCCCATGAATTTTTATATAAAATTAAAGATTTAAACGTACACTTTTACTTATAATCAGTTCACCCTACTATTAGGTATATAGTATTTGTTATTTGATTTTTAGTACAAGAATTACTTAATTAATTTACCAACTTAGATATATCGAGTAAGTTAAATAGATTATTTCATTAAGAAATATTTTTATACAATTAAATACATTCCTACACACAAATATATTAATATTAGGTTTGAACTCACTATGTTAAGGTCTCAATGACATATACCATTCTAGTCCTCAATGTAAGTAACAGGGAAAAATTTTGGTATAAACATAAGTCACTTGAAGCATATTTAATGCCTATTTTTTAATTTTAATTTTATTTAATTTTTATTGAAAAGACGAAAAGAAATGAGATAAATAAGAATGATTAATAAATATAGAGAAATAAAAAATTTTAATAGGAGCAAAATTAATTTTTTTTCCAATTTAGTGAGTTATATTTATTGCAGATTATTTTGATTTTTGTCCCCTTTTGATGGACCCTGTTTGGCTGTTTTTACGGACCAATAGTTCAGTTTCAAATGGTTCTGTGCCTGACATGCTAGTCAAACAGTGGATGGTGTTTGCCAAGTGTTCGCTCTAACGTAAGTTGCTTGCTACTGTTTCTTTGCTCTCTACTTCAAAACTGCCAGTTGCGGGTGCCTTGGTAGCTGCAATTGCTTCTTCCTCCTTTGGCCCAGGGTTGTGTTCTTCACCTAATGTCAGCCATCGCTTCTCAGATCACTGCCGATGATACCGACTGTTTAGAAAGTCTGTTCTACGGCCCCGACGCCATTGACATTGCGTCCGATAAGGATCAGAAAGGTTTCTTCGTCGATGAATTTCTAGTGATTTCGTTCTTAATTCTACTATTTTATATTTATTCTCTACTCTTTTTTCGGGTCTATAGTCTTTACATACTGTTCTCATCATTTTCTTGCATAATAAGTGTACTAGTAGAGGTATGTGCATGACGTGTGAAGGGTAGAAAGCAGTATGCATGAGTTGTTTAGCAAATAGAATTGAGTTTTGCATTACATCAGAAAAATGGAGAGTTCAGTGCGATATATGTGTTAGTGTTTTTCATTCTCAAAACCAATGAGATTAGTTGTATTAGACTTTTCTCTTAATAGGAGATGCTGAAAAGAACTCGATAATAATCTCGAATTCTTCCACGTCTCAAATCTACCGAATCGATGTACAAAGCAAGCCTTAAATAGGCAGGTATATCCAAAATCAACTATAATACTAATTTCACAAATTTAATTTTGAGTTTTGAGGTGGTAGAAAGCTAGCGGAGATGGAATCCATGAAGGGTGGACGATTGGTCGACGAACCAACGGCAGAAGCAACTCAGACCCAAGTCAAAACCAACAGTAAGAAATGGAGTTGACAGGATTTTCATCAAAAGTTTATCTGCTTTCCTACTGCTGGCCTGAGCCTGAAGTTGAAGTTTATTAATAACTTCATCCCAAGATAATGCCTTCTTCTTGCATACATTCTAAATTTTCCCAAGTCTTTCTCTCTAGGGCAATATGGAGAATCCGCCTTGATATCGTTAACTTCTTCATTCATATCAAATGGGCTATCTAGGGACTTGACTGTAAGTGTTTGATGGATTCATTGAGCTCCTCTTGGGCGTTTTCTTAGTTGCCTGAATTCCAATAGATCTATTCCTCCCATTTTCTATAATTGTTTTGAACATGAAGCTACTGCGATTGTTGTTCAAGTTACTTGACTATTTTAGGAAAATAATGTGAGCTGTGCGCAACAAGATTTGATGAAAAATGGGGCAATATCTCCTTCCGAATGGTACTGATCTTGATCTCCAACTCTTATTTTCACAATTAAGATTAGCATCCTTCAAGATTCATGTCCATATTGTTTATTCTTCCCAGCCTTGAACAATAATAAAGATATAAATGCACAAAGACTTCTGAATTAGTACCCACAGATCTTACTTTCAGTCCCTTACTCATTTTCCTTACAGGGAGAAGGCTTTTCTTGATAAACTATTATGGAGCCTAAAGCTCCTTCCAAGCGTAATTCCTTAATTTGGACAGCACTATTGAAGAGGATTATTGTAAACAGCCTGTTACTGATTTGCAGAAAGCCAGGCACAATGTTGCTCTTTATACTGACTTCTGTATTCATTGATCTGATTCTAAAACTTTTTCCCATTTATGTTGACATTGTCCTGGAGTGACATTGCTTTGGAATAAACTTATTTGGAGTTTTGGATGAACACCTGAAACTTTGTCCAATTTATTTTTACATTGTCCGTCAGTGACTTCCACGTACCTTTGGAATACATTATTTTGTATTTTGGATGAACATCGGGTATACCCCAGTACATTGGAGCAGTTTCTCCTGATTAATCTAAAAAGTTTTTGCTACCAGAAAGAGAACTCATTGTATGGGGCCATGTACACCTTATGTAAGATATTATATCTTCTGCTGGATTATGTGCCATGTCTGCTATCGGCTGCTTTGAATTGGTATTCCTCTCTAACACGTGTTTTATTCCACAGTTCAGTACTCCATTATTATCTTGTAGGAGGTAGTGAGGTACTATGATTGCATGTCCCCATTTGGAGATGGTTATTTCCTTTTGTATATTTATTGAGTTTCATCCTTTTATACTTTATTAAAAAAGATTTGAGTTCAGCCATGAGGTCTGTGTGGACAGAAGGGAACTTGATACCAGTTTCACCTGCAGCAGGAAACCTTGAAGTGACATCACCATCTTATTTGCCTCTTATGGAAGGGAATGCAGCTATGGCTAAAGTTTCTGTTCCTTCATATAATGCGCCTACAATTAGAAAGAAAGATTGTAAACTGAAACGCAAACTTTCAAGTAGTCCAGAATCAAGAAAAAATCTGGATCTGGAAGACGATAAAAATCAGCAATTAGAAGATGATGTTGAAAATGCTGGATCCCTTTCACAGCAGAAAACCTTTGGAGGATGTAGTGAACCAAGTTGCAATTACACTTCATATTTATGTGATGTCAATGAGGATATAAGTTCTGGGCCTTCCAGGTCAATGACAGATTTTGGAAAAGAGGGGACTATCCACCTGCCGAGAGATTGCTTCGTTGAGAAGGCTAGTGGTGGTCAAAATCGTATAAAGCAGATTAGGAAGCTGAACATGCAATCAGGAGATGCAATGAGCCCAATGACACCAAGGTTTGGTCATTCTCGTTTAATTTGTCATATTACTTATACTCATTGTTGTGTGACTATAGCTCATTTTACATAGCATAAGTAAGATCACTTTATTTCTGACTGTTAGGTTTTCCAGGCATCCTTCTCCTGACTTGAGGACCAGAGATTTATCTCCCTGTGCTGAGACGCAAGTTGGAAACAAGCGTCATGAAATGATATGTGCTTTTTATGCCAAAGGATGGTGCATCAGGGGTAATTCTTGTAGTTTTCTTCATATAAAAGATCCTGAAAATAAATCCGGCCAGCAGATTGAAGGAGAATTGGTTACTCAAAATTGGAAGAGAGAAGTGCAACCAGAGGAAGGTACGTGAGGTAATTTTGTAGCAAGGTTGCTCAGGAGTCTGCGTTGTAAGCATCTTTCTAATGAAAATATTGTCCTGTGACAGGTGCTGGAGATGATGTCAAGAGATCAAGGATGCCTTGTACTCAAGTTCCGTTGGCTGCCACACAAGAAAGAACATCTCAGTATTCATCTGAATTTTCCTCAAACCCAATCATCCAGAAAGAAGTAAGCCCAAGTTGGCATCCAAATAAAAGCTGGGCTGTCTCCTCCTTCCCTTCCAGTCTAACCCATACAGAGGGAATGACTACCACTCAACGGCTAGACATGCATCATGGATATACATCCCAATTTGAGAGTCATTCACCTAATGTAAACATGGCTACTCACCTTCCAACTGCATGTATGTCACTGTCCCATCATATTCCTTCCCGATCAGGATGTTCATTGTCTTTTAGTGGATCCATAAGTGAAATTCTATAGATTCTCAACAACTTCTGAACAGTGGCATGGCTTGTCATGACACCAGATCCCCTTTCTCTGGTTCAGAAAGGGAAGGTTTGGCTCTAAATGGTTCATTTGGGGTTCCACCACACCCAACTGGATGTACATTAAATTTCTCTTCATATGATTGGGAGCCGTCCGTACCTTTCAAACCATCTTTTTTTATTACTTTTTCAGGTAGATCGTCTGTTGAGGATCAAAAGGACCCTTTTGACAGTATTGTTGAGGTACCCAATATAGGGGATGAATCCTTGAAAGCTTTCATTTCATCTCAAAGAACACCCATTCTGACTTCATCTCAGGTTCCTACAAATGGTGAGTCTGTTGAAGCTGCAAATCAGGGTTCAGATCTTCATGGTGCCAAAAGTTCTGTATCTCAACCAGAGAAGAGTTGTGTTCCTCATGAAAAAAGTTTTGTTACAACTGAAACAGATACAATGGCAGCAACATATCTAAATTGCCAATTTGGAAGGGTTGGTATGGGGCTAAATCCCTTTGAAGAGGTTAAAAGTATAGGAAAAGAACAAACTGAGCGTGATGCTAGACCTCAAGTTGAGGTAACAGAGGACAAAAAACAAAGAGTAGATAGGGGTAAGAAAAACAGTGAAATGGATAATAATCTTCAGAAGGATGCTGGCGTGCAGATAGAATCAATGGAACTGAGGAATTTCCGTTTCGCACTTGTTGATCATGTGAAAGAGATTTTAAGACCAGTTTGGCTCGAGGGTGACCTCAGCAAGGATGCACATAACATGATTGTTAAAAAATCAGTTGACAAGATTATTAACACTCTACAGCCTCAGCAAATTCCAACAAATGAGGATTCTATCAAGAAGTACCTTTCTTTTTGTCAGTTGAAAATTGTAAATCTCGTCAAGGTAAGCGTCTTTCTTTCTTTAGATAGTATTGTTGATCGGATTTGAATGAACATCACTTTGATATTTTACGAACATTTTTTTTTTATTTGCAGGGATATACCAGTATATATGGGAAGATTCGATAATGTCACCTATATGACTTTGTTGTACAGTTCGCTAGCATTATGTAACATCCAAATATATGTAAGCTTTTATCTCATGGACTCGGAAAGAGAGGCTTTTATCTATAAGGTCATCCGTTTGATAGTCAAGTTTGTAAGGACCGTTGCTCAGTTGCTTGTTCCATTATGGTGTGAACTCGTAGGGATTGGATACAAGTGCTATGGAAGTTAGATGATAGATTTATAATCTTTCATCTACTTGACTCTCTAGCATATGAATGGAATGCTGATAGACAATTCGAATTAGTGTGGCATTTATGATTTATTTTAGTCTTCAAATAGTTAGAATCTGTGATGAAAAGCATATAGATAGTTTGTTTCATATCACTGTCTTACAGCGAATTGTTTCAAAATTCACGATATATTAGACTCAGATTGTGAGGATTTGTAGCATAAACTGACTGATACAGTAGGCCAATCATATGTCAGGCTAGCTTTCTTGAGTTTTTCAATGGTACATCTTAGTTCTTTCAGTTTTCAATGATTCATCTTTGGGTTCATGCTATTCTTAACATATTGGAAGGTGGAAGAGGGATCTTTTGTCATCTTCATGGGAGATTGTGTTAGATCGTTCCATTAGAGTGATCGGGCCTTTATAGTTTTATGGGTTTGGATGGGTCTGCTATCTGCATGAAATTTAATTAAAAGCTAACTATCCGGGATACTAGCTTAAGCCTGTGGCGACTACACCTGAATGAGTTGAGTTTAAATACAATATATAGAGGATATATTACAATTTGGTTAGTATAATTAGGTTTTCAGTTTTAATTATTGTTTCCTAGCATGCATTTTTGTCCTGTTTGTGATACCAAAAATAAAGAGAGAATGTGCATGTACTGAGGAATGAGAATAGTATCATTTATTGCTATGATTTGGGTATGCTTATCAAATCTCAATCTTAAGTGTTGATTGTGAACCCTGAATACAGATTGTGTTACCTACTGACAATTTAATTAATATTGGAACTATTGAGAGTCAGATTAAATGAGAAATAAATGAAGTAGGAAAAGCCTTGAAAAAACCAGTAATCACAAGCTCATTTAATATAACATCTCTCTCTCTCTCTGTCTCTCTGTCACACACACACACACACACACAAAATCTTAGTGATTAATCAAAGGAATACCCATTTACAAGAAGCCTTATTCCCGGTCTTATTGCATATAAAACTACTCCTGGACTAGTCTTTCTGACAGAAAGGTCTAGAAATAAAGAGAAATGAATGCATATATAGAGAATCTATAAACCTTCATGTCAGTGAACTTTGACTTGGCTCAGAGGCGTGGCAGATCCTGCATGGTGACACCAAAGTCTTGGAAAACTTCCCACCGGAAGAAGACTTGTTTCCTGGTCTTCTTCCTTTCTCAACTCCATCAAATTTCCTTCTATTCCCAGAACCTACTCTCTGGCCATTGCCATGATGGGCTGATAATAATGAACTCAAGGATAATGTGTGATGATGATGATCATCTGGGCGATTTGATTGAAATGAAATGGTTTGTGGCTGAAGTTGCTCCATGGGAATTAGCAGATTAGCAGGTTTTGGTTTGGTCTTCACTGAGTTTGCTGCTGCAGATTTTGGGGTTGGTTTAGTCACAATAAACTCAAATTCTGGGCTCTGATTTGTGGTATGATCATGTTGTTTGGTCTGGTGTAGAGGAACAGAAGGTGATTTGGATTGCTGGTCTTGAATGGAGACAAGGCCACCGAAAGAGAGTGAGTCTGATAAAATGTTATCAGCAGCAAGAAAATATGAAGGAGGCCTGCTTCCATTGAATGTTCCCATGGATTAGGGATTTATGATCAAATTGGTATGTGGGTGGAAACTTTTAGATGTAGAAAGAGGCTGCAAGTTTAAAGCATCTTTTGATCCTTTTGGTTCGTCCAACAGGTCCTTTTGCTTTGTTTTGTTTTGTTTTGTTTTTGGGTGTGTTTTTGGCCGACTTAAAGATATTGCTTTTTCCGGCTTTTGATTATTTTTAATTTAACCAGTCTTGAAAAACCACTGTAGATTTGAATCGAGCCAAGTGTATAAAGTTCCCTTTGCAGTAATCTTCCTAGCAAGTGTTGAACCGCTTTAATTAATTGCCATGTGTTAATTATTTTTCTTCTTCCTTTATAATAGATTGGACAATTTTCACCGGGTTTAATTTCATTTGTTTCATTTTAAGAGTAAACTATACAATAAAATAATTTATTAATCATATGTCAACTCGAAAATTGATTATAATTTCTTTAAAAAAAGATTGGATTTTATAATTTGTTTTGCCAAACATCCACAACATAGAACATGATCTTGTATATGGATGTCTCGTGCATTTTTCTTGCGTGAGCACCAAATCTATATTTAGGAAACAATGATACTTACTACACAATAATCAAATGTTTAATGCAAGGCATTTAAAATTCTTACATTCCAAATATTTTTTGGGTAATAAGTATCTAAGTGGGTTAGCTGCCGAAGTGGGAAAATTACCTCACTTAAATATTCTATTGAGCATCTCATATTACTCAATATGCCAAGTCATATTACCGAATCTGAATAACCCCAATGACATTGAAATACATTCCCAATTCAAGTTTTAGTGCGTTAATGATCACATAAATAATTTTACTATAATCCTTAGTACAAACTCATAAAATTCTTTAATTTGTACCTCCTCAAACATATGTTTGTGTGTGTGTAATGTCAATATACATTTAAAAAGTCTCATATATAATAAATGCCTTCTTAGATTTAAACTTGTAATCATTTGACCCCTAAGCTGAATGTGGTTTGGAGATTGGTGGATATTACAAAGGAAGAGTAATATAAAACAAACCAAACCCTTTGTCAATGTCATTTTCAAATCTCAATTAACTTACAATGATACAGATCCATCGACTTCAATTTTTTTTTGTTTTTTCTGATAATTTGTTTAACCGGCGCTCTGATCCTACGAGGTTTGTTCTCATGTAGGTAAAGAAAACTTATCTATTCAATATAAAATACAAAATTGATCATGTGGCACATTATTTTCAAGAAATGAAAAGTATATGTTTATTAAATCCAGTGTAATGCAGGAAAAATCATGTCATAGTCATATTTTAACAACGTAACGTAAATCTTAAAAAGTTTAAGGGGATATTTGGATAAAAATAAAATCATGGTTTCAAAAATGATTTGACAGTATACAAAATAAATATATGAATAAGTTTATCTTGATTTACAAAAAAAAAATTTTTAGAAAGCACTTTTAGACAAATCCAAACACCCCCTTAAGTAATCTTTGAAAGCTGTAATTAAGCTTTTTAAAGTACAAAGTTACGCACTTATTCTAAAGTTTTGTGAGACTTATCATTACATTTAAGAATTAATGGTTAACTTCGGGGAAATAACTACAAATTCATTTAGAATTACAGATATTCTGAAACTCCATAATTCAGTAAAAATTTCATAAAAATCTATTCATAAGCTCTTAAAATTTGATCATCATAAATTTGACTGTGTATTGAATGTATTGAAGACACTTTTTTTTTTTTTATACAAGAGGGGGCTAACAGCCCAAAATAAAACTAACGCAAAAGGCTTCTGGGTTTAATGCAACCCAAAACATCTCTATCCAAACAACATCGGACCCCATTAGGTGGTTCCCATAACATCTGTATTTCATTAGATCGAAGGAAGCTCCATTTGGCTAACCAATCAACTATTGCATTGCCCTCCCTAAAGGCATGACTCGTCCGCAGCTCCCACCCTGATCTTAAAAGACCATTTATCCTTTCCATAAATCTGCTGCTACCTTCTCCTCCCAGTAGCACTCTTCCAACTTTCGAATAACAATCATGGAATCTGATTCAATGATCACTCTCTTATGGGGTATTTGCTTCAAAAGATCTACCCCAGTAAATAGCACCCACAACTCAGCATCCTCCACACTGCATCTTCCCAATTTTCGAGCAAATCCTCCAATCCATCTGCCCTTATTGTCTCGAAAAACTCCTCCGCATCCAGCTATCCCGTCATTTTCACATACAGCACCATCAATATTTATTTTGATCCACCCTGTATCAGGTTTATTCCATTTGATCTGCATACACACCTCCTGTACTCCCTTCTCCTTCCTCTCTAACATCTCTCTAATTTCATTTACATGCCTGTAAATTGCAGCCACATTTGGTCTCTCAAAATCAGTCTCAAATAAGCTACGGTTCCTTCATTGCCATAGAAACCAAACATTTACAGCAAACACTATTTTCCAATCCCTCTAGACACCTCTTTTCCTGCTAAGGTTTTGAATAAACCACTCATTCAGTGCCAGGTTGAAAAAAGTTTCCCATCTTCTACCTCCCAAGATCACCCTCCATATCCGCCTTTCTATCACACAGTCTCGGAGAACGTGAAGTGTGTCCATTAGATGCAACCCACATGAATATTTGTATTCTCCTAGGCCCCCTCCATTCCCAAATCCTCTTCCAAACTAAGTTCGATCCTTCTCTATCAAATCCTTTCAGGTGGTTGTACATATCCGAAACTACGTATTTTCCATTAGCATTCCCCAACCATTTAATAGTATCATCAGGCTCATCCATTTTTAGAGGTGGCACAGTTTGTATTCTTTCAATAGTCTCCTCAGTCAAAAATTTTTTCATCAGTACCGTATTCCACTCGCCATTTTCTGTAATAAAGTCTGCCACTTTTGCCTTTAGTTCTTCCTCATTCAGAATTCTTATGCATTTCTCTTTTAAGGTCCCCATTTGTGTAAACCAGTTGTCTTCCCAGAACTTGATTCTCCTTCCATTTCCTACTTCCCAACCAGCATTTTTCACCATGTCCTTCCACAAACCACCCAATCTCTTCCATATTGCTGAATCCCCCTTCTTCACAACACATTCTCTCCCCAGTTCTACTTTCCTTCCATGTTTTGCATTAAGCACCTTTGACACCAATTTCTCAGGTTTTGCCACCATTTCCCAACCAGTCT